TTCAACCAAGATATGTTGAAGACTCCCTGCAAAACTGTTATGGTCAAATGAGGCTAGCATATGCTCTCCGGTGTATGAACTTTATACTCTAAGTGAGAATATGCTTAAAACGGGCCTTAATCTGAGAGCTATACACCAAGGATTCTAAGATTGCCCCTCTAAATGTCTGAGTTTTACTTAACTTAAATGCTAGCCTTGAAAATTCCACTAGGAAAGAAAGAAGGATCAAGCATGTTTGTCTACCTTCATTCTACTAGGAACCTACAGGAACAATTGAGCCTAGGAGATGTACTAATTCAGCCACAGCTGCTAGTAATTTGGCTGCCTGGTTCCGTAGGGGATGAGATAATGGGGAAAGGGAATTAGTTCCTTTATCTCAATCCTGAAAAGAGGTGGCACATACTCATTTAATCATGTCATTTTAAAAAATGGATTCAGGCAAAGCAGAATCAAAGGTTACACACTGTTTATGAACCCTCTTTAACCATTTTTATTTTTGTCTTTTTATATTAGTTCCAACTATATCTTCTCCAAAAAAGAAGAAACACAAGAAATACAGGAGTGTCATATCTGACATATTTGATGGGACCATCATAAGCTCAGTGCAGTGCCTGACTTGTGATAGGGTAAGTGTAGGAAGATGTTCTAACATGAATGTGGTGTTCATTTTTATATTAAAATATACATAGTTAATTTCAGTCATTTTACCTTTACATGTGTAATCTTTCTCTTGGGATTTGGCCCCTTTCTGAGTTCTGCAGCTGTTATGTCTCCTCAATTTAATTTCTCAGTCCCTAATAGTAACTGTTGCAACCCTTCTTTAATATAGACTCTTGCCTCTCATTTGGGAATAGAAAGAGCATAAGTCCAACTGAAACTCAACAAAATTGTGGGTGTTAGTTTGCAACCAAGTTTTTTTTCCCCAAGTGCAGCAAAGTTTTCTTTTTCTTCCTCTTCCCTTCCACTGTCCAGGAAGTTCCAATTATTGGTTATAAACTAGCTGAACAGCTCTGTTACCTTGCTTAGACACACAGCAAGGTGTGTGTTCAGGTGAAGGCCACAGTTCCTTTTCCTATGGTATTATGGTTAACCAAGGACTGTGGTGTCTACATGCTGTCGGTCACAGATTGCTAATATCATTCAGAACTGCTCATTCAGTTATTTTTACATTAAGCTATGAGGTGCCTCTTTTCAATTCTTCTGTTTTTAAATAAGAATAAAGGCTGTGTTGGGGGAGGAGAAATCCTTTGCCCGTGAAAAGCAGTTCATGGCAGAAGAATGGAACCCAATATGGAGGAGGAATCTTCTATGTCTACAACTTCATTTAGCAGAAAATCCAATCATGGTTAGCCTGACTTCCTAACACGCACAGCTTCCTCAAGGAAAACTGCCTTGTAATATAAAACAGTCTAACTATTACATCGGATTAGAAAAGGCAGTCATTAAGTGTTTTTAATTATCTGGAATATAGAAAAGAGTAGCTAGTCATACTGTTTCAAGAGCCTCATCGTGCAAGTTTGGGCTGAGAAAATTCAGGTCTCATTAAAAACATTTAAAATTTGATTTTTCAAAGTGGTTTGAAGTCCTAGTATGACTTATGAAGCTCAGCTTCCTGCTGGAAAGTGTGATGTTCTTTAGTAAAAATGGCAGCCCCCACTGAAGAAAGTAAGTCCCATTTTTTCAAAGTGCCACTTAAATAGTAGCAGGTAATTAAAAAAACTTCTAAAAATGATTCTTAGCAAATATTTACTTCTAAGTTATTATAACAAACCACTTCAGCTTCCTTTAAAAATAGCCCCAAAAGTCAGAAGTGCTCATTCTTATTTGGAGGGAGAGGGTTGTTTCTAAGTAAAACACCATCAAAATAATTTGAATAACGTTTGGTAGAACTAGCACCCATGAGCCATCTGTGAAAAGCTCTGTACTGCTAACGTCACCACTACCATGGAATAAACCAGCTGGGGTTTATAAAAGAGCCATTGTTACTTCTTTAGCTATAAAAGTATCACCTGGTGCAATGTTCTTCAAAAGACTGGTTTTATGACCCAAATCCATTTAATTGATAATTGAGAGATTGCCATCTAGTGGAATTTTAGGAATAAAACACTGAATCTTTAGTTAGCAGTCACTCTTTTGATCAAACTTCTCAAGATCATAAAATAAAGTTACAAAACACTGTGGTGTATTTGACAAAATTAGAATTAATTGCCTATTTCTTTTAACAAAAGCCTAATTTTCCTCCCTACTTTATTTTTTGCATAGGTATCTGTTACCCTGGAGACTTTTCAGGATCTGTCATTGCCTATTCCAGGTAAGGAAGACCTTGCCAAACTGCATTCTGCAAGTCATCAGACTTCTCTAGTCAAGGCAGGGTCGTGTGGTGAAGCATATGCTCCCCAGGGGTGGATAGCGTTTTTTGTGGAGTACTTTAAAAGGTAAGTGATTCTGTTTGTAGTGCTTAGATTTTAAAATTGCGGTTTCTGCTCTACTGGCAGAACATTTGTTGTGTTTTCTGTCAATGATGTTTCAGGTTTGTTGTCTCATGTGTTCCTAGCTGGTTTTGGGGTCCAATAGTAACGTTACAAGATTGTCTTGCTGCCTTTTTCGCCAGAGATGAGCTCAAGGGTAAGCCACTTTTTAAAATATGTCTATTGTGCCTTCTTTTTAAAACAAGGTAAATAGATGAGGTATTTTAATTTTGCTTTTTTTTAATTGAACCAAAGCACACATCAGACTTTAAAAAATATTCCTGGTCATAGGATCCACCTTTTTATTTTTTTTAATAAACCACTATTGAAACGGATTTTGAAGCAAGAATTTTCACATAAGTTTTCTTGGAAATATCCAATAATTGAATTTCTCTTAATGAAATAAAATCAGATGGAGTTCAGGACATTTTCAGTCTAAATTTGGGAATTTGCTCCTTTTCTTGCCTTTAAACTGTGTACTGCTTCCCTTTTATTTTAAAATGATTAAATAACCCAACATAATCCAGAATATATTTTTAATGTTTGGGAGCATAAACCCTAAGAAAACCATATCATACATTTGCTCATTGAAATACTAAACTTTCTCCATAGGAATCCAGAGTCTTCAGACACTGACTGAAAACATTTAACCTGAAAAATAAATTATCCCTGAAATTACAATGACACAATCAAAGCAATAGAAAAGTATAATAGCTATTGTAAATTGCAATTATAATCAATAAAGTATAGTGGATACCTTGAAGAATAATTGCTTGTGTTTAGAGAATAATGGTTGTGTTTTCCCCCCCACAATATCTACAGGTGATAACATGTACAGTTGTGAAAAGTGTAAAAAGTAAGTCATCTTTTACCTTAAGTTTGCTTTAATAAGCCTTGGTCTTGATCAGCACATTAACTGTTGCTGCAAAGGTTGAATGTGTGGAAATAAATGCAACATACAGTGACTTTCATAGATGAGAATCCTGTATTTTTGGTACAATGACATTTTTTGATGAGCAGCTTTTTGTTATATGAGCTTGTACAATACCTGTCAAAAGTCTAGAAGCAATGAAAGTGTGTCAGACAGGAAGTGCTTTAGGGATGAGTCAACCATATTGGGATTATGACGGGATCCACGGGGTGCAGCCTGGGACTGCACTGTGGGACGACTGTGCCTCCTTAACTCTCCAGCCCGGGCTGTCTCTCACAATGTTTTGCCGGTGACAAGGAGCAAACCCCTCCAGGCACTGTTGTCACTCAGCACAACCACATATGGAGCCCCACACCCAGCTAGATTGCATGAATGCTCCCAGAGCCACTCATGAATATCACAGAGAAAGGCACCAGCCAAATCCCCCCCCCCAGCTTTGTACTTCGGGAATACACCGTCTTGCACTGTTCAAGACCTTTTCTTGAGCAATGCAAGTTTATTAATTGGTTCACCACTTGGAATGGAAAGTGGACATACACCAGCCTTTGTGAACCTGAGCAGATTTACCAAGCACTTCAGGCAAACTCACTGGATAAACAGTAAAACAAGTGTATTGATTACAAAAGAGAGATTATAAGTGATAGGCAAAAAGTCAGTGGTCACCAAAATAAAATAAAATATAAGCACGCAGTCTAAACCTTAACCCTTATCACACTAGACAGTATTTAGATCAAGCAATGTTCTCACCCCATTGGATCTTAGTCCTTAATATACAGGTTTGTCTCTTAAACCTGGGCCAGTCTCCTCTGTTGAAATCATCAGTCTTCTCAGCATCCTTGTTCTTTGCAGTATAGGTGGGCGGAGGAGAAAAGGCAAAGCATGGGGCCCCTGTGTTCTGTTTTATACCCTTAGTCCATGTGTTTGGAGAACATAAGTCCAGGCATGTGTGGTGGGGATTGCTGAGTCACAAGGTGAGGTTGAGCAATTCCCCTGGTGTGGTCTTGTGCAAGTGAGTCATTGCATTGTAGCTCCCTTGCTGGACAATGGCTGTTAATGGTTGTTCAACACCTGCCTTGGTGTTGGTTATCTCCCTGGTTATTGTCTTTGGGGAGCTAGTATCTGGGCGCTTCCCAAACCCACAGCAGATTTTAGTGGCAATCGTACAACACAATTCTCATAACTTCATATGCATTGATGAGAGAGATATTTAGATGGAACAGTGGGTTTCAGCAGATCATAACCTTTCCCATGATACCTTACAAGGCATGCTTTGTATGCAATATCACAATTATATACAAATGGAGAATATGAGGGTTATAGGGCGCTCCCCTGTGGTGTAGTATCACAGGGATTATAAAGAAATATTTCATCTAAATGTATAGCAACCCTTTGTATTACTGTAAGATAAATCCTTAATTGTTAATGCAGTCTAAGTGATGATGTTTTATCAAAATAAAGGAACGTAACACTGTCAGACTCTTAACAGTTGTTGCTGTTATACATAACACTGTTTTCTTGTACAAGCATTGTAGTACAATTTAAGTAAATATAGTATGGGGCCAGTAAAATACAGAGGACCTTGAAGAATATTCATAGCCTTCAGTGGAAATGGAGTGCATATTAGCACTCCATTCTAATTATTTATTGATACTCTGCTGCAGTTAAATTTTCTTGAAGAATGAACTTATTTAGCAAAAACTGCAATTCAGCCATAATTTGCTTTCACAAAGTTTAAATGCTAAATCTTTTCCCCCATACTAAGAAAATCCATTGGCTAGATAGAACTGGTAGACATGTACATAGTTACTGCTTTGAATTCTTCAGTGGAACAGATTTTCTCTGCTTCAAGATTTCATTATTCATATCACTTTGGCTACAGTAAGTCTAGTCTGCATTCCAGAAATATTTCAGGTTTACTAATGTTAACACACAACTCTTCGTCATGTTTTTGCTGAGTTGGCACAGGAGGTGAAACATTTATAGAACTAAATGATGTTTTTCTTCTTTGCTTAGGTTAAGAAATGGAGTGAAATTCTGCAAAGTGCAAAACTTTCCTGAGGTATTGTAATCACACACCTTTAAAAATGTTTCTTCTGAATGATTGGGAATGTGGCAAGGTTAATGAGTTGCATAGAAAGTAGATTGTGTCTTGAATGTTAAAACAATTAAAATGTAGCAGCATACTTGCATTCCTAAAAAAAGAAAAAAAAGAAAAAAAGGTTCGCATCTAGTCACATTTGGTCAGGTACTTTACAAGAAAGTGAACAACAGTTAAAATGAAAGGTAAAGTCAGAAGGGAAAAAAAATGTTTTTCCTACAGTTCTGTAGCCATCCTGTGGAATTCACTTCTGCTGGAGATCATAGAGTTAAATACTGTAGCTGAGCTGGAAATGTTTCTGACTTGTTACGTTTGTAGCTATGCATGCTAAAGGTAATCAAATCTTATGCTTCAGCGCATCAGCTGATGACTGCAAGAATTGTGAAGGAATTTGATCCTGGTTACAGCCTTGCACAAATAGTTAAATGCAGTTGGGGAAGAGCTTTGTCCTTCATTGAAGCATTAGGTTTTGGCAACTGCTCAGTGCTAGCCTTAGGATTTTTGCAGGATCAGTAAGATGATTTTTGGGGGGAAATCCCAAATGCAACTAATTTAAAATAAATGTGGATGGTCCTGAGGCTGCCATCAGCTGCCTCCGACTGCAGAAGAAATTAATTCCAGCTACTTGTACTGGGGCCATAGGAGTCCTTAATGGTATGTCTATACCCACCGGATCGGCAGGCAGCGATCGATCTAGCGGGGGTCAATTTATCTCATCTAGTCTAGACGCGATAAATCGATCCCCAAGCGCTCTCCCGTCGACTCCTGTACACCACGGCCGCGAGAGGCGCAGGCGGAGTCGACGGAGGAGCGGCAGGAGTCGACTCACCGCGGTGAAGACACCACGGTAAGTCGATCTAAAGGGCCTCTGCAGTATAGTTTCTAAGTTCTAAATTAAGTCTGTCAATCCTTCTTACAGATATTGTGCATTCATCTCAAAAGATTCAGACATGAGCTCATGTTTTCCACAAAAATTGGTACCCATGTATCCTTTCCCCTGGAAGGACTTGATCTTCAGCCTTTCGTTGCTAAGGACAGTCCAGCTCAGATTGTGACATATGATCTCTTGTCTGTCATCTGCCACCATGGAACTGCCAGCAGTAAGTATAGGTTTGTTGTTTCAGAATGCAAACATAGTGACAGATGTTCATGGCACACTTCATTTTATGGAAGTAGATGTGGGATTAAGGGTACCATTAAGATTTACTGGTCTGAAAGGTAAATATGGACAATAGTGGTAGTAATATTAATTCCAAAATTGAAGCCAGAAGCTAGTACATGTTCTGTTTGATTATTTGTTTTTTAAAGTGAGTTATGGCATACATTTTGGAATGTTATTTAGGAGTTTTGTACAATTTGAAGAAGAATGAATCAACCAATCTTATGACTAAAAAAAAGTACTTACAAAAACCTCTCTAGTTAACCATCCTGCTGTTGTCTGCTACATAAATTCAAGTACACAGTACGAATAATGATGCAATATAAAGTACTGCTCATCCCAGCTAGTGACACCACAAGCAAATATAATGTGAATAATAAAATAAGCTCCTCCGTCCACAAAGTGAAAAGATGGACTTTGTGGCATGTCCAGAAAATTAGCTGATTTTTACTCTCATTTGTCAAGGGGGAGTGCACTGCCAATTTCCCTCGTGGAGAATATTCTGCCAGTAGTTCCTCCTTGTTTGGCTGAAAGAGTTCCAGTGCCTCTGTTATAAACTCTGGCAACATGGTGTGGGAAGAGAGGCAATTTCTCACATAAGGCCCTGAACATCTAAGACATAGATTTAACAGTAAATGCTTTCAGTTCTATCCTGAAATGTATTGGCATCTAATGCAGATCCAAGAGCTCTGGTTGTAATGTGCTTCCTAATGATGCCCAAATCAGTCAAGGAGACGTAGCATTCTTTTCTACAGTAGAACCTCAGAGTTATGAATACCAGAGTTATGAACTGACCAGTCAACCACACATCTCATTTGGAACTGGAAGTACTGTACACAATCATGCCGCAGCAGAGACCCCCCCCCAAAAAAAAAGACACACATAGTACAGTACCATGTTAAACATAAATTACTAAAAAAAAAGGAAAGCAGCATTTTTCTTCTGCATAATACAGCTTTTAAACTTTACTGAGTTAATGTTCATTTGTAAACTTTTGAAAGAACAAACATACTGTGTTCGTAACTCTGAACAAAAATCTCAGTTCCCAAGATGTTTGTAACTCTGGGGTTCTATTATAGTTAGTTTCCATGTTATTCTCAAGAGTCAGAGACCAGGAAAAAACTAGGGTGCATTCAGTCAGAAATGGGAGTCAAAATAGCTCAAGAATAGATTCTGTAGTGGGTCCCAAAGACAAGGATCTTATTGTTTAGGTCAAATTTTCATCTTATTCTTCCCTAAATACTGCCTCCCTTTCAGATCAAGGGCAGGTATATGATTATCACAACTGTAGGTGCTCTGTATTTTAAGAAACAACCTGAGCCTAAATGTGAGTAGTAACCAAGATGCAAATTAGTAATCTTGAGATGTTGAACAGTAGAACATGGTTCCTATTTCATGCAGGTACACTGGCTGCTTTTAGAGAAAGTGAAAATCTGGACAGAGATGTTCCTTTGACTAAAATAACTTACTAAATGGACTCTTTTGAACACCATGACCCAGAGCAGAGTATTCATATTGCTCAGAAATCAATCAAACTAAAGATCACTTGGAGAGCAGAGCATATGTTGAAAGAACATAACCATGTCTGCCTTTAGCTGGTGGGAATGGAACAAAAAGCTGATCTTAGATTTATAAGGAACTTAAACCAAATTTATATAGTAAAAGTCCCTTTCATTAATACCATTAATCATATGTGATGAAAAGATGTACAATTTTCTGTATTCTTCACCTGTTAACCCTATATTGTTCATAGCCGCACATTTCACTGTACAGTCTCTAATACCTTCTTACTCTAGGTGGACATTATATAGCTTATTGCCGAAACAATTTAAATAATCTGTGGTATGAATTTGATGATCAGAGTGTCACAGAAGTACCAGAATCCACTGTACAGAATGCAGAAGCTTATGTTCTCTTCTACAGGTAAGAAAGTGAATAAAAGAAGGAGAAAGTTCAGTGTCGGTAAAACCTTGTTCAAATAAATGAATCACTTGTGAGCTGTTGGCCATTTGGCACCCAGCTTTTTAAATTAGGTTGCTAAATAAATTTTGTAAGACATTTGGAATTGGGGACGGGAGGTTGGGTCAGTCAGACACTCAGCTGTTAGCAAGAGACCCTGTAGTTCAGATAGAACTAATGTCAAGTATGTGTCACCACAGAATCAACTATGCTGGAGAAATGCTTTTATTTTATAATAGCCCTCAGAAGACACATTAATAATGCATAGCAATTTCAGTATAAGAAAAAAGGAGACTCTGCTCTTCTGAAGAAGGCAGTAATGCAGGAGAGCTACCATAGTGGAAAGGCTTCAAGAAGACTTGTTCTAATGTGATATTGAGAGGAGCACTAGATGCCACAGTAGAGATGCTTTGCTTTGATTTAATAAAAATGCTTTGCCACCAATTTATTTTTTGATGTAACAATTACAAGTGAAATTGCTTGAATGTTTAAATGCTTATAAAACTTCAGAATAAAACCACAGAGGTGGATCAGAACATTATTTCTGCAGATTTAAGATAATGAAAACTCAGTGAGATTACTAGAACTTGAAGAGTCTTAGAACTGGCAATTAAGATTGCCTCATTTTTATTCAGAGGAGGATGCATACACGGAGGATTCTGCACACAGACTGAGATTGTTAGAGCTATAAAGGGAGTTGAGGAAACTCTTTAGCAGCTGGGAACTGGAACAACAGGGGTTTTACTGTGTCCTTATTTTGCTGTGTCCTGGTCTTTTCCTGAAACTCAGACAGCGTAAAGGAGATACCTGCTATTACCATCTTCAATCTCTGTCACTTTTATACTTGGAACTGTACATGCAATTAGACTCTTATCTTTCAACTGTTTTACAACTATTAAATTATTCTGTTTTTAAGCATTACATTCTTTATACTGACATCTAGTTTTAATTAACAAAGGATGTGTGTTTGCTACTGGAAGTTGAATACTGAGTCTAGCAGAAATAAGTTACAATAGAATTGCACAGATGAGTAGATACAGTCTGATAATATTTTTGTCTTTGCCAGAAGCACAAGATACAGGCTGCTAGCCAAGATATGGTCATTGGTCTGACCCAGAATGACTGCTTCTATGTTCCTTTTAGGAATAGACCATATTGTCAAAAAGAACACTGTGCTTGTTGTGAGCAAATACTTCAAAATTAGAATACAAACTCAAGCATGTGGAATATTTATATCTTGGTAGTACACATTAAAATTCAAATCCTTTATTTAAATGGGTGTCTTTTCTATTGGTTGTTTTAACGTGAATTAAAATTATTTAATGGTATAGTAATGGGATATTTTTAATTGGGCTTTTAGGTGTATTAAATGTAATGACCCAGAAATTCAGTGAAGGAAAAAGTTGGTTTCCAAACCAGTGTTCAGAGTAAATCAGCACCACACATAAGGATACATCCTGTGCTTAATGCTTTTTTTTATTTATATAATAGGAAGAGCAACGAAGAAGCACGAAGAGAGAGACAGAGGGTATCAAGTCTGTTGACTATGATGGAACCAAGTCTCCTGCAGTTCTATATTTCTCGACAGTGGCTGAATAAATTCAAGACTTTTGCTGAGCCAGGACCTATTTCAAATAATGATTTCCTCTGTATGCATGGAGGTGAGACTGCTAATGTTTTATGAAGTACCAGTAAAACAGAACATCTACCTTTGAGGATGAAGACTTATTTCACTGGCCAGCAGGGAATTTTTTAAAATACAGGAACTTGTATGTAATCAGTTTCTTATTCTTTACTCTTATCAGTTACCCAGAAGCCAAGCTTATTTATTATCTTGTCATCATTTCTGGTTAGGGACCTACTTTAAGTGTTTTACAGTCAAGATCTGACCACAGAGTGTAATTCCACAAAGAGCGTATATAATAATTTATCCTCAGTGTGCATGTTTTTACATAGCACCCTAATATGGTCTGCACGTTTTCAAAACATTCATATAGATTTTTCGTTGTTTTATACCTTTGATTACTTAGTTATATTCCCCTAATAACTGTTTGGACTAACACCTTGTAACATAAATCCTTGTCACAACTACACACTGAGGATAACAATCCCAGGAACCCAGATATGATAGGGCACAACAGGGTATCCAACATGAAAACAATAATGATCAAGGAAACTTTCTTGCATGTTTTGTACACAAGTTATAAATTGTCCTTCCTCTGCTAGACATTAGTGAAAACTGTGTTTTGTGATGTCACCCTTGTTTGGGCATCTGACTTTCTAAGCAACCACCATGCAGTATCCAGCACCCTCTCCCATGTAACCACATGCAAAAGAGAAAATACTGTATCTGTGGTCATTTGTAGGGTGTATGTGTGCAGTAGGAGAACCTGAGCCTACGAGAACCCAATGGATCTATAGCACCACCTTCTCAGTGCTCAGGGCTGCTACAGATGCCACTGTCAAGATTAGGACATAAATGGTCTGATCTAGTGGTTGGATCAGGGGTCAGGAGTCAGGCTGGGTCAGATACCAAGAGGTCAGAGTCAGACACAAGCCAGAGAGCAAAATCGAGAGTCAGGTGTCACGAGGCAGGCAGGGTCAGGTTACCAGGAGATCAGCAGTATGAACAGGTATTGCTGAGGAAGCAGCCCTAAGTAGGGTGAAAGCAGTTGTATGGACAATTTCCTGTTGCTGTGCTGGGTTTAAATAGGAGCTGTGAACCAATTGGGACCCCTGTTGGTCCACCAATCAGTTTCCAGGATTGGGGTCTTCTATCAGAGTTTGGCTCCTCTTCTGACAACAGGTGGCAGGTTGGAACTTACTAGTGTCAAAGAGTCCTGTGGACCAGCGTTCAAGACCTGCTGTCCCTTACATCCACGGATGCATCATCCTCGCTAGTTTTCCCCACAGGGAGAGGCTTGGATGCTGTGTATGTACAATAGCTGTTTATAGTACATAGTGTTCGCACAGTAGTAGGAGCAACAGCAAATGAAACTTCATTGTCCATAATCCCCATAGCCTTTCTTCTGTTCCCCCTCTTCCTGAATTTTCATTATCCATAAGCCTCTTTGTGGACTATTGTTGCTATCTAGAAAGCCTGAAGACAACAAATGAGCTTTACTGAGTAGTGAGTGGAATAGAATTTGGTAAGTCACAATCAATGGCTTTTACGTGAGTAATCCAGAAACTCTTAAGTAACAATTTTAAGTTACGATTTAATCCGACATTTAAAAAAACATTTTACAACCAGCATTCTTAAAAGAAGCCTTTACAATCAATCCATTTCTGCTTTCAAATATGTCTGAATTAAATCTTTGATATGATTCCCTTCAGCTTTTCCAGTAAAATGTTCAGCCACATCGTAAAGAGAGTGGGGCCTCTTTTAAGAGACTGCTCTTGAGATGGTACTTTGACCGATCATTTAAAACAACATTTACTATATTATATCTTATATTTTTATTTGAATTGGTCAAAAGGTGGTTCATGACTTAGAGACCTTTAAAACATTAGTTATCTCTTTCCCTAACTCTATGTAGAATAGCCACCCAAAAAAAAAAAAAAAAATGTAGCAAGACCTTTTTCTTCTTTTATAGGTGTTCTTCCACATAAAGCTGGTTTTATAGAGGACTTGATTGTAATGCTACCTCAGAACATATGGGATACCCTATATAGCAGGTAACTGACACTGCTCTGCGCTGTGGTTTGAGAGCCAGCATTTGTGCTAAGTCGTGAGTTCACAAATCTTAGGGTTAGTGTTTAAAAATGGAATTCCTTCTCTCAGCTTTGTATCCGGGAGTGCCAGGTGCAGATTTAGGAAATTTGCTTTGTACAAGACAGCCCAAGTAAATGGTGTTGCCAATAACTGGGGTATCATACCAATAAATGCTATATATATATTCTTCTACAAAATAATAAAGGATGTCAGCAAAACATGCTTTGCCAGAGGTATTTTGAAGGAACTGTGCATCACAGCTTCCTACCTATAGAAAGAGCTAGCTTTTTGTTCCCTTGGTTTTGTCTTTTTTGCCTCAGTCAGCTGTCAGAATTATTTCAAAATAACTTACTTCTGAGGGTTCTCTGTAATTACTCTGCACTCCTCTAGCAGGTTGAGTTTGTGTGCCTCCTGAAGGAGTGACCCTTGTAAGGCCCAATTCTTTTTAAAGCAACAAAGTTTCATGGGAGCCCCATTGAGGTCAGTGAGGACTCTGTTGCCCATTACACATTCCAAGAATTTTTATCTTTTAAATCCCAGGCATCTGAGCATGAAAGCTCAGGCAGGGGTGTAATGATTTGTAGCTAGCCCCAAGCAAAAAATGGAAATGTGTTCCTACATCCCCACCACCCAGCTTCTTCCCACTTCTCTATGTAGCTTGTCCTTTCACCACACCTAACCCATACAAGCAGTATCTCTCTCTGCCCCCGCAGAACTTGCCAGTGCCTCCCAAAGTCTCTTTTGCTCACCACCCCAATAGACACCCATTTCCATGCTTGTCATTCTCCTCCCAGTCGAGGAAGGGTTCACTCCTCAAGTAATTCTTTAGAGTTCTTACAGAGATACCGGGAATTACTCTTTTACCTCCATATTAAAGGCCAGGGGAGGAAATATGACCTGATAGTTCTTATTGCCCCTCCCACTGACTAACCAATAGTGGTTAAGGCCACTAACCACCCCCACACCAAGTTCAACAACCAGAATTAAACCAAAGTATAACAGCTCTTAGGAAACTGAACTTTACTCTTCAAAAACACAAGAAAGTTACAGATCTTTTGAAAATACCATGTTCTGAGACATGCCCCTCCCATGTCTGTTCTTATCCTTACTGCAAATCAGGGGTCTTGTCAGCATTTCATGCTAGGCAGAGAGTGCCTGCTGCCTTCTCTCTCTACAGCGGTAGTCAATTATTTTTTGTCAAGGCCCAAATTTCTTGGTCAAGGTATAGTCAAGGCCCAGCCGCCAGAGGAAAAAAATAACGATGATGATGATAAAAAGACGTTTTTGGGATCCATCAAAAGTGTCTGGCAGTCTGGATTTGGCGCATGGTCCACCTAGTGACTACCTCTGCTCTACAGCTTGGTGGGGCAGTCTTTCCATGCTAATCTAAAAGGCTTCTTCAGCTGAAGAAAACTGAAATTCTTATTGCAAATAAGTTAAATTTCACCCATCAAAAACTACATTAAAAAACTGTTCAGATTTTTGTTGTGGAACCAAGTAAAGGTAGAATTAAGCCTGTTTGGGACCAAACTGCCTTCAGTACTTTCAGAGGACTTGTCTACATACAAGTTTCACTGGTTTAACTAATCAGCTTAAAATCACAGTTTTAGGCCAGGTCTGTACCAGCAAACCCTTCTAGTATAGAGACAGTTTATACCAGCAAAATAAGCAATACCAACCAAAGCACATTTATGCCAGTATAACTACATCTACATGAGGCTGTTGTCAGTATAGAAATGTAATAAAAAAAAATCACACCTCTAACTAACATTGCTATCCCTGCAAAAGTTTCTGTTGTAGACCTGGCTTTAGTTAAACCAGTGTAACTTGTATGCAGAGCAGACCAGAGAGTAAACAAGTTCTGTTCTACAGAGGTACTTGTTAGAGCTGAGCAGAAATTGGCATTTCCATTCTGTGGGAAATTCTGACATTTCAGCATTTTGTTTTCATCCTGAAATGAGATGAAAATTTCAAATTTATCTGCAGAAGAGAAATTCTGAAAAACTTGTATATGGAAATGTCAAAATATTTTGATCAAAACAAATCATTTCAACATTCCCCAAATCAGAATGCTTTGTTTTGGGTTGTTGGGATGTGCTGAAATGCTTTGATTCAAGTAACTTCAATATTAACCTTCATTTTATTGTTGTGGTGCATTGCCTTAGGGGAGTTGTAGTTGGGGAGCCTGATATCTCACGCGCCCCTATGTGGCCACGTTCCTGGCTAGACTAGATCTCCCATAATGCTCTGAGTCATATGACACCCATGACCATGCAGCTCAGTCAGAGGGAAATCAGTGCATTGCCTTATGGGAGTTACAGTTCTCCAGGGAAACCAGTCCAGAGGCAAGAATGGGGGCCAGAGTTACAAATCTAATAAGACAGTGCGCCATGATAGGGAAATACTGTTTAATGTTTTGTTGAATTAAAAAAATTAAATATTCCATTTTGGGTTAACCATTCCCAATTAAATATTTCATTTTGATATTTCTAAGAAGAAATCAATTTTGGGGGGGGGGGGGAATCAAAATTTTCCAGAAATTGCATTTTCTCTCAGGAAATAATTGACAGAAAATTACTGACCAGCTCTCGTTCTTATGCTACACTCATCTCTGTATCCAAGTGCCTTCCAACACATGGCTAACATTTGTCATGTGATATTTGTTCTCTCATCCTCTCCCCAGTATTGAGGTGTCCTTTTGAGTAAAGTGCTAAAGAGTGTACATGTTGTGTTCTCATGAATCTAAATTTCCTGAAGAAGAATGCTCTTAGTGAGTGCATTTCCCTTTTATTTTTAATAAACAGTATAATCAGCATATGATCTAGTTCATTCGAAAATATAGTTAGGCAGAGAATATAGTTCAAAATCTAAAATGTGATCTTATAAAGTATTGTTTAGTGCATGAGCTAAAACAAGACTCTCACTGATTTGAATGCATCTATGAAGTTTGATGCGTGATAAGAGACGAAAAATCTGAGTGGGTACAATATCTTATTGTAATGAAATAACTCAATTTTAATTTAAACAAAATGATATTTTTATATCTTGAAGGATAATATCCACACAAATTAAATTTTTGTAAATGGAGTGATAATAGTCTAAATAGTCCTTAACAACCAAACTTACTATCTTCAGAGGTTTCAAATAAAATTATCTTCGGAATCAAAATCTTAAATGCCAGATTTTAGACTGGAGCTTATTTGTACATCTGAGTAAACAAGACATTGTTGTAAAGTGCCTTTTACCATTGCTTCAAAGGACTGGCTTGCATTTGTGGTTTAAAAAAACAAAACACTTAGCATTAATTTAATTTTAAAAAACTACACTCCAGGCCAATGGGGGCTGCGGGAAACTACGTGGGCTGAGGGATGTGCTGGCCGCCGCTTCTCGCTGCCCCCATTGGCCTGGAGCAGTGAACCGCGGCCAGTGGGAGCCGCGATCGGCCAAACCTGCCAAAGGTTGCCGATCCCTGTTCTAGCAGTTGGCAGAAAAGGTAAAGAAATGGAGAAATAATCTTCTATGAACAAAACAGTGGACGTTGACCAAGTTTAGATGTTGGAATCATGTAGAGCAGTGGTTCTCAAACTTTTTTTCCACGGACCACTTGAAAATTGCTGAGGGTCTTGGTGGACCACTTAATGATCTTTCCAAACGTTGTGTGTACCATTAGCTAACTATTGTAAAGCGCTTTGGATAAAAGCGCTATATAAAAAAAACTTAATAATAAACAACAGTTTTTTGTTCTACAAATAAAAGCACACAACTCATATTTTAATATCAGTAGTCTTACCTTTCTAATCCGATGGATGTGCCCTCTCGCCCCCACCTCGACAGCCCCCGAGCTGGGGCTGGGAAGGAGGGGGGGGTCTCTCCTCTCCCCCACCACGGCAGCCCCCGAGCTAGGGCTGGGAAGGAGGGGGGTCTCTCCCCCCACCACTGCAGCCCCTGAGCTAGGGCTGGGAAGGAGGAGGGGTCTCTCCCCGGCAGCCGCAGCCCTGGAGCTGGGGAAAGTCACCCTTTTCTCTGGCCACCGCAGCCCTGCACATCCCAAATTCCCTCCACCCCCTCTTCTCACCCCACTGCTTCCTCCCACCTGCCTCCTATTCCTCCCTCCCCCCCAAGTCCACCACCTCACCTTACATGTGTGTCTTCTCCAGGGTCCAGGCACTTAATTAGTGGAGTCATGCCTGCGTGGCTCCACTAATTAGATGGGTGGCCCTTCGTTCTCTTGTGTGCAGCTGCCCAGGCGCGCACCTTAGAGGGAACTATCCGCGGACCACAGTTTGAGAACCTCTGATGTAGAGAGCCAATAATAAATATCCCCATTACAATATTTTTCAACACAGAACTTGGTGACAGGTTTGCAAATACATTGAAATCGTTTTGGTGACATACAAATATGAAGTGGAGATTTTTAATGTGGCATATCACACATGCTTATATTAGGATTTTGAGTCAGAATTACCAGGTGAAGAGTTTTTATTCTTTTGGATGATAATTCCTTTAAGCCATGTGGTGGGTGGATTTTAAAAATATACTGTTCCTTCTTTGTTTTTAAACTTCAAATAACTTTTTACTGGCATGGGGTGGGGCCGAGGGTTTTAGTGGTCTTGTAGTCCACCTCCATAGTTTTGTTTTAGTTTTGTGCTCATTAGTTTTGAGAAACAAAAGTGAAATAAAACCGCTAGAATGACTCTGTGCATGTCAGATAAATTGTGCATTTAAAAATGCAAATAAAATTGTTGTTAATTGACTAATAGCTGCTGTTTGAATCCTCATCTGGGAGAAATGTCCAAAAGTATTTTGTTTTTTAACGGTTTTTGTGTTAATTGTATTAATTTTTTTCTTCATTCAAAATTGTTGGGTTTACAGGTAATAAACTGCTACTAGCTTTTTTGTGGTATAGCCATGAAGGCTTTGGGGGGGTGGGGGGAGAGGTGGAGTTGTTTGCATTTTGTTAGTGGATAGTTTCAGAGCAATAAAGATTATTTTTATCTTTAAATATACTTTTTTTTTTTAAACTTGGTGCAGTTCATTGAAGGAACTTGTGGCCAACTCTCTTTTTATTAGGAGAAGATTTCAATAATAAACTATTCAAACTGGGTCTAGCGAGGCAGAATCTGAAAGATATTTGTTTCCAAAGTTCAAATGCCAGTATCCCCAGTTATGGTAAATATTACTGTAGTGTAGAGAATAAATGGTAGCCTACATGTGTCATAGTGACCAGAACCTGAGAGTATCATAGACAACTTTTAACAGCTCGTATTAGTATGTGCAGCTGTGCTTTGCCCCAATTTACAGATGAATTATCCAAGGTAAAAGTATTAAAAATAAGAAATTCAGCCTATACTTCTGAGTGTGTTTGCCACATGTCATTAAAGCAAACAGAATCTGGTGCTGACATTCTCGTGGAGGAGAAATATGAAATATTTGTCATGAAATTAATAATGAAATTTACTATGATTATAGGTTTGGGGGAGGACCGGCTGTTAACCACCTGTATGTTTGTCATACCTGCCAAATAGAGGCTGAGAAAACTGAAAAAAGAAGGAAGACTGAATTGGAAATGTTTATTCGGGTAAAAATTAGTAATCAATATTCTCTGATACTTTCCAGTCTTTTTTGTCCTTATCTTGTAGATTCTTCAGAAGCAATATTTTGACCAGGATTCTCAAATTCTTTCATAGTGTGATTCATATTTCAATAGAGCAGGTTTTTTACATGAACCACCTACTCTCATTTGCAATAATATAATATCCCTGTGGTATGTATGGCAATTGCATATGTGGGACCTGTAACAATAGGGAAACATTGAATGTGTTTTTAGCTGATTTTTTTTTTTAGTGCTACTTAGGTGGAAACAAGGAATAGAGCCAGCACCATATGAACAATCAGTTCTTCTTTGAGTAGTGTCCCTATGGGTGCTCCACTATAGGTGTGTGTGTGCGCCCCCGCACTGCCAATTGGAGAATTTCAATAGCAGTCCGTCCAACAAGCATCTCTCCACTTGTCATGAGGCTAGCCAGCATGCACAGGCATTTCCTTCTCAGTTCTTTCTCAACCGCCTCTAACTAGAGAGGGAGCTAAGAGCTGTCCATTAGTGGATCATTAATTCCCTATAGTTTTGCAAATTTTAGCTTTCCTTGAAGCCTTTTTCTTTTAATACCTGATTTGTTTTGAGTTGGCCATGGCAAAAAAAAAAAAAAGAAGAAAGAAGGGTTGGTGGGAGGGGTGCAGACCACCCCTGGACAAGGGTATGCCTGGCTCTCCAGGCTTCAAAAAGTGACTTAGCAGCAAAGAATTCATCCTAATGACAGATGGACATTTGCAGTGCATTCACTTCCTGGGGGAAAAGCAAAATTCACAAAAGTGTGGTTGGTGCCAGCAGTTAAAACCTAGGTCCAGGAAGGACAAAGAGTTAAGGCTTCAACCCCAGGATTCCCAGCAAGAGCTATCAGTGCAGCCTTCTCTGTTGAAGGCAGGTGATCCCAAGGAGACGAGCCACTCACTCAAGACCACTAAGAAAAGGTCTGTGAGTCCACATAGCAAGCCCCGATTGAGCCGGAAATGATCGGTACTGACGGTGCCAAAGCCATCTAGAGCATGTGCAGTACCAAGCCAACAGAGCAAGTCGATCTGCCCAAAAACCCTATGGGCACGGGCAAAGAAGTACCGGTACTTGATGTGGGGGCATGAAAAGCATGGAAGATCTACACTGGTGAAGGCTACATCTTCACGGTAATCGGCACTGACCCCAGTGCGCGTGGCACTGACGGACTATATGACTAGGTCTGCATCTCCAACTTTGTTGGTACAAGCCATTCGGCATGGACAACCACTAGCACCACCGTCGTCTGCACCAACTGATTTCCAGTGCGCAACAGATCTCTCTGTGTCGGATGCACCAGACTCACCCCTACTCAGTATTGGGGCTCTGATGCCGAGTTTTCCAAGAGCATTGGACTCAATCACATCTCCAGGCTGCGCAGCACCTTTCTCCTCATCAGAGTCAGATAGTGAGCAAGAGGACTTGGGTTCCCACCATCATCCTACCCACCATACTAGTCCCAATTTCATCATGGACACCAGGCGTATCGCCCATCCAACCCTCAACCTCTATGGTTTGGGCAGCCATAGTACCAGCCGCAAGCTCCCTACCCTCAATGGAGCTATTGGGACCCCTGGCAGGCCCAGAGGCAACAAGCGTCCCAGGCCCCTAGTGTGGCATACCAACCGGCAAGGAGGCACCCCCCTTCTGCTGCGGTGTCAAAGGGTTCAGAACCTCCTGAGCAACTCGGGGAGGAAGTTGAAGGTGAGACAGAAAGAGAATACACCCCTCAAGCTTGTCTCTCATTGTCCTCACCTGATGAAACAGACATGCCCCCTCCGCCATCCATGACAGATGATTTTAAATCACTTAGCTCCGAGGGTGGCAAAAGCCCTGCAAATACCAGCTGCACAAAGTGACTTGAGCCTCACCACAAACTGGTGAACAATCTACACTCTTCCACCTCTAGCAGAGTGGCCCTCGCAGTTAATGAGGCACTCCTGGATCCTGTCAGTTATTTGGCAGACCCCTGCGTTTGGCCTGTCGACATGTAAGTGGACGGACAATAAGTATTATGTGTCGGCAAAGGGCACCGAATTTTTATTTTCCCACCTGCCTCCAGTTCTATCATTGTGGATGTGGTTAAGTCTAGAGGCCTCCAATACCAGTTTAAATCCACCAAGATGGGAAACACTTGGAACTGTTTTGCAGAAAAGTGTATTCATCAGCCACTCTTCAGTTCCAGGTGGCTAATTACCGGGCCATGTTGGCCAAATATGACTACCAGAACTATGTGAATTTCTTTATACCAGACCTCCCACAAAGACTAATTCATGGTGATAATTAATGAGGGCCAGCTGATGGTGAAAACATCTCTACAGTCCACATTAGATGTGGCAGACACAGCAGCTTGTTCAGTTTCCACGGCTGTGGTTATGAGAAGGGCTTCGTGGCTGCAGTTGTCTGGCTTCCTGAAAGAGGTCCAAACCACTGTGGAAGATCTTCCCTTTGAGGAAACGAAGCTGTTCGCCGAAAAGACATATGTGTCCCTTCACACATTGAAGGATTCTTGGGCAACCCTTCATTCCCTGGGGATATACATGCCGGCCTACTAAAGAAAATACAGCCATTAGCCACTGTGTAAGTCCCTGTCATTGCAGTACACACCTCAATATTTGTCAGAGATCTTACAAACAACAGAGAAAGAAATCAAGATTCCCCAAGGGAAAGCAATCGGGACCACAGTTGACTCAGCCCTCAATCTTGAAGCGGCAGTTTTGGTTCAGTTTGGTTTACAGGCCAAACAGAGACAACATAGGCAAGCTTATATCGATGCCCACCAGGGTCAAGCAATCCTTAGACTGGTGGAAGAACCCAGTAAACGTCTGTATGGGACCCTGTTTGCTCAGTCTTCCCCATACCTTTTCCTGACCCCCCTGACATATCCCTTATAGGTTGGGGAGCGCATCTCAATGGCCATACAACATATGACAGATGGTCTCCGGCAGATATGTCTCTCCACATCAACCTGCTTGAGCTCAGAGTGGTCAGAAATGCATGCGCTCACTTCCTCCCACTGGTCAAGGACATGCATACAAAGGTCATGATGGACAACGTGACCTGCATGTACTACATAAACCAACAGGGAGGCGCCAGGTCTCATTTCCTGTCCGTAGAAGCACTGAAGCTATGGAACTGGTGCATCTCCCACAACATCTTAATCTCAGAGGCTTATCTACCAGGAATACACAACATGATAGTCGACAGTCTCAGCCGCAAATTCCCACATGACCATGAATGGGAAATAGAGTTGATTCTACACAACATATTCTGACAATGGGGTATGCCGGTAATAGATTTGTTTGCTACTCACCAAAAAAATAAATGTGTCCACAGTACTGTTCCAGGGCGGGGATTGGTTGACACTCCATGGGAGACGCTCTCCTCCTTCCTTGGGACAAGGGCTTTCTTTATGCCTTTCCCCCATTCCTTCTATTGCTGAAAGTTCTCTTGAAGATAAAAAGGGAAAAAGCAAACATCATTCTGATCGCCCCCACCTGGCCCAGACAGATGTTGCAGCTGGCATTACGTCCACCAATGACTACCGATCACTCCTTACCTCCTGTCACAGAACGAGGGTCACACCCTCCACCCCAATCTGCAGGTCCTGCGACTCAAAGCGTGGCTCCTTCATGGTTCCAGCACATAGAAACATCTTGCTCTGAGGAGGTACAGGAGGTGCTATTACACAGTAGAAAGGGCACTACGCGTCATACCTAACTTCAGAAATGGAAGAGGTTCCAGATCTGGTGCCAACCCAAGGCTGTCACCCCTAATTCAGCCACCCCAACGGTGGTCCTAGACTACGTGTTGACCTTAAAGAAATCAGGTCTCTCTATTAGCTCGCTGAAGGTTAATTTAGCAGTGATCCTAACCTTCCACCAGCAGGTAGAAGGCTACTCAATCTTCTCCCACCCAACTACAAAGAGGTTTCTTAAAGGCATAGCAAACCTCTTCTCACAACCCAGGCATCCACCCCCACCCCAATGGGACCTCAGTCTAGTGTTAAAAGGACTGACTAGTCTGCCATTTGAACCCATGACTTTCCATGAAGATGATGGTCCTGCTTTGAGCAGGGGCTTGGACTAGATGACCTCCTGAGGTCCCTTCCAACCCTGATATTCTATGATTCTATGATCACCATCACTTCTGCCAGAAAGATAGGGGAGATAGCATCTTAACCAGAAAGAGTTTACCTGCTGAGTGGAAAAAATCTTTTTTTATGATGTAGAAAGAAGAGTTGAAAGGTTGTTTTTAAAAAATGTATTCTACTTCTCTGTCCTGTTTTCCTCAGAGTCTTCTTGGAAGACCCAGAAATAAGAACTTTCCGAGTTCTTGAAGGGCCTGAGCTGGAGAATCTTTAACAAACTGATTTTTTCCCCTCCAGTTGTTAGTTGTTTTAGTTAAATAGGTGTAAACAAACACAATCCTGAAATAAGAATTTTAAACAATCTAAATATTAACTTCATTAATGCGTGCTGCACAGTTGCCAGAGATATTTCCCTTAGTGGTATCTGTTCAGCTGGCTGTAGCACCCCCTCAAGCCTTGAGCTCATGCGCTGTTATAAAGGGTGTCGCCAGACCTGTGACCTCACAGTTCCTTCTTACCACCTGTGATGGTTGCTGGAACGGTCTCTGGCTCTCACAAGGCTTCTTACCCTAGTGGTTTAGACTTTTCTTGTTGTATATAGTTCCTTCTTCTGTCAGACAGGCCCTGGCCTTCTACATCGACAGAACAAAACCCTTCCGCAAGTCAGCACAGCTCTTTATAGAGGTGGCGGACAGGATGAAAGGTCTGCTGGTATCGTCCCAGAGGATCTCATTTTGGATAACCTCCTGCATCAAATTTTATTATGAACAGGCGAGCGTGTCACCCCTGGTTGTCATGACTGCCCATTCCAGGAGGGCACAAGCATCGTCAGTAGCGTTCCTCGTGCAGGTACCAATCTGCAGAGCTGCTACCTGGTCTTCGGTCTATACCAGGGGTCTCAAACATGCAGCCTGCGGAGCTCTTCCCTGCGGCCCGCCAAGCTCCCCGCGCCACCTCCCCCCCCCCCCCGCTACTTCCCGTCGCCGCCAAACTCCCCCCCCCCGGGGGCAGCGAGGGGTGTATGTCAGTGATGCGGCCCTCGGGCCAATGCTCTAGTCCTCATGTGGCCCTCATGGTCATTTGAGTTTGAGACCCCTGGTCTATTCTTTTGTCTCCCACTACGCCATCATCCAGCAGGCCGGGACAGTGCCAGTTTTGGAAGAGCAGAGTTGCAAGCAGCATGTCCGTGAACTCTGAGCCCACCACCAGGGATACTGCTTGGGAGTCAACTAGCATGGAATCGACATGAGCAGGCACTCAAAGAAAAAAAAAAAACAGTTACTAACCTTCTGTAACGGTTGTTCTTTGAGATGTGTTGGTCATGTTCATTCCATGACCCGCCTTCCTACCCCTCTTTCGGAATTGATGGCAAGAAGGAACTGAGAGAGCGCAGGGCCAGTGGCGCTCCTTATATGGGCGCATGAGCATGGGGCTCCATGAGCATATCGCCAGCCCTCCGGATACCACAAGAAAAAATCTCTGGCAACTGTGTATGTGGGTGTGCACATACCTAGCATGGAATGGACATGAGCAACACATCTTGAAGAACATAGGTGCCGACTCCGTGGGTGCTCTGGGGCTGGAGCACCCACAGGGAAAAATTGGTGGGTGCTCAGCACCCACCGGCAGCTCCCCGACCCGCCCCCCTGCCCCAGCTCACCTCCACCTCCTCCCCTGAGCGCGCCACCGGGTCCTGCTTCTCCCCCCTCCCTCCCAGCGCTTCCGCTGCGAAACAGCTGATTCACACATCAAACCTGGGAGCGAGGTGAGAGGAGGGGGAACGCGGCGTGCTTGGGGGAGGAGGTGGGGCCGGGGCGGGGATTTGGAGAGGGGACCAATAGGGGCGGGGCTGGGGGCGGGGCCGAGACATGAGCACCCACCGGCGCCAACAAATGCTGGCGCCTGTGTTGAAGAAAAGCAGTTATGGAAAGCTAGTAACCATTTTTTCTAGAGTTAAAAAAATAGGTATAAAAACCTCTTTCATGCTGTCTTTTTACATTATAACAAAGGGCACAAAATCAGTTTTTTCTTTAAGGTCTCATTTGAAGGAAAGTCGGCAAGATCTCAAGTCATTAAGAAAACCAGGTTTAGATATATGAATTGCAAAGCTGTTTATATGGTAAAATAAAATGTAACTCAATTCTTCTTTCACATATCTGAGTCTGGGTTTCCCTGACATTCCCCTGAAATGGTTGGTGGTGGACACTCTTATGCTCAATACAGGAGCATTAGTTTTAGTTGTTAGCAGGGCCGGCTCCAGGGATTTTGCCGTCCCAAGCAGTCCCCCCCCCCCCCAAACAAACAAACAAACAAACAAACAAAGCCACGATCGCGATCTGCGGCACTTCGGCAGGAGGTCCTTCGCTCCGAGCGGGAGTGAGGGACGGGACCCACTGCCGAATTGCCGCCGAAGAGCCGGATGTGCCGCCCCCTCTCTGGTATGGTCACCCCAAGCACCTGCTTGGTAAGCTGGTGCCTAGAGCCGGCCCTGGTTGTTAGTTATGGTACTAGTTTATTCAAAGGAAACCTAAAATTTTTAAACTCTCAAATGAAGTAGGATTTGACTTTCAGATATTTTCTTGAGATTCAAGACTGCCAAGTGTTTACTGCTTTGATACCCTGAGAACGTTTAAATAATTTTGTATCAATCCAAATATTGCTGCTTTACTCATCAGATACTAGATAGAAATCATGGTTTACTGAAAAAAATCATTTTGCATCTAACTACAACAATGCAGGTAATGGGCTTGTCTGTTTTATTGTTTTTTCCAGCTCAACAGAGCATTCCAAGAAGAAGAATCTCCATCCATTTTTTACTGCATCAGTATGCAGTGGTTCAGAGAATGGGAAGGATTTGTGAAGGGGAAAGACAGTGGTAAGTAGCTATTTGGGGCTGTAAAACTCTGTTCAGTAAGTAGGTAATCTGTGCTTTTTCATTATGTTCTCTGCCTTATCAAATAGTAGTAACAGTAAAGTAAATTATGTCTGAATGTTGTCAGAAGGATAGAACAAAGAATATCATGAGCACAATAGTAAAGAAAATATTTAATGCATACTTTGATAGTTCCAAATATTATGCAGGAAGTCAATTTCATAGCATACTAGTGTCGTTAATAGAGCTGTCTTCAGGTGCAAATATCTTTTGTAAAGCTACAATTTAAATATTCAATAATACCTATTTTGAGGATTGGGCAAGGATAGCAATTGTGGCTAACTTGCTTTTGAAACTGCTTGAAGATTTTATTCATTATTGCAATGATTACTCTTTGAAAAATGTCCATTTGTGACTTCATATCATAGTACTGTTGCTGAAAGCATCTGTTTCCTTTTCCTCCGTACAAAGTATACAATTCAGCAGTCAGTGAGTAGACCAAATGGGAGGCAACTCAACTGCAATGCTCTTTAAAAAAAATAAAAATAAAAACTACTTTCTTTCCATTTTCAGAGTCCTAATCTTTTATTCATTCTTTTTTTTTTCCACATTAGATCCTCCAGGCCCTATTGATAATACGAAGATTGCAGTCACTAAATGTAGTAATGTTATATTAAAACAAGGTAAGTATCTACTGATATTATAAATTCTTTATGCAGCCTATTCTTTGTTAATGGTTTGGGAAACATGCTGCTATGAAGTTCTATATGCATTTCTGTTATAAACCATAGGTTTTAGTGGTTTTATACTCTTCATGCTAAGTTTCAGATAATATATGCATGCCAATTGGAGGAAAAAAACAGACACGTGACCCCAAGCAGCCAGGGCATCTGACAGTTTACCCAAGAAAATTAATGGACTAGCTTCTGTTGCAGATAAATCCAGCTACAGACATGAGTATAGAAAATAGTGTAGAGAACTAATTTTCTATTGCAGGGGAAAGTATTTTCTCTCTGTCGTCTTTCATTAGCTGTGTACCACTCAATTTGCTTTGAGCTTGGAGTCTTTTCCCTCTAGGTTGGAGATGTTAGCTTTGAAGCTACTGGATGTAAGGTACATCCATTTAAACAATCTATCCTGATTTGGATCATCAGTTTGAATCAAGAATTACGTCAAACTAAAAGAATGTAGCCACAATATCTATGTACTCAGCACTGTACAAGACAAAAATATCAAAGTCTGTGCCCAAGAAAAATGCAGAAAATGGAAAAATGGAAAAGTATAGAAAAAATGCACTGGGAGACCTGGAGGAAAAAGATCATATTAAATTTTAAAAATAATTGTAATAATTTTTGTGAGCCTGATAGAAATCAGTATTCTAAAGGGGATTTGAATGAGAGAGCTGGGATCCTTTAGGAGACTGTTGTTGGTAGGTTATTACATACAGAGGGAGTCATCTGCATTCATAGCATATAGTACTAATGGGGGAATTCTGTGCCAAAAAATTAAAAATTCTGCACAAATATTTTAAAATCTGCTTATTTTATTTGTCAAAATAACACAATATAATCATGCCAGTTTCAATTAATTTGGTAATTTATTTCAAAATACCTGTCAGCAAGTATGTCTGTAACAATACAGACAACAAAAAAAGGTTCAGGAAATGTTTTTTGACAAATAGATTCTTACTAGGCATATTAATACAGAACTCTGAGGAGTAATTCATTTAAAGTACAGTACAGAACCATATTTCCCGCACCCCTCAGAAGCAGTGCAAAGGCTTGGGGGAGTCGGGGGTAATGGAGGAGCTGAGGGAGAGGGAAGTAGTTGCTGGGAAGGAGCCTGAGTATGAACTTGAAGGGTTGTTGGGTATGGGTGGGAGAAGTATGGAACGGTTTTTTGGGGCGGCGGGGAGGGATTGTTAGGGAACATCCCCCATGCTGACCCCTAGCCTCTCCCATTCAGTCAGGCACATCTGCCCCTGTCAACATGTGCCCTTCCACCCCCACTCAGCCACCCACTCGCCATCCCTGTATGATCCTACACCCCGTCCCCTGTCCCCATGTGTCATTGCACTCCTCAGCCAGCCTCCTCCCCTTATTTCCATGTGTCCCTACAATCCCTGTCCCAGTGTGTCTTTGTGCCCCCACTCAGCCATCCCCCTTCCCTTCTGTAGCTCTGCATGTCTGCCCATGTTGCCCTGCACCTCCCTCCCCCTGTGGTCTTGCACCTCCACTTGAATTCAGTCCTCTGCCCTAGTCTGTCCTCCTCCACTAGCCTTTATGAGCCCACGTCTGACCCCCAGCAGCCTACGCTGTCTGTCTCCCCCCATCTCCTGACCTGGTCCAATAGGCGCTCTGAAGAAGGCAGGCTCTTTCTCTTCTCTATCGAGTTGGGGTTGACCAGGAGCTGCTGCTCTGTTCTAGCACCACAGCAGCCTCTGGTGGTAAAAAGGCAGAACGGCAGCAACTTTTCAACAGAAGCTATTTTCTGCAACAACAACAAAAATTAAAAATATGCACAGCACATGAAATATGCATGCATGGAGTGGCACAGAATTCCCCCAGGAGTAATATAGTAACTGTACTCTTTCAAAATTGATCTTAATACATTTCATAATATTATCCTCTAAGATGTGGTTTTAAAGTTTACAGGCAATGTGCCTAAATATTTACATTAACCTGTTACTTGGTTTCTATGAGACTTAGACCCAGGGCATATTAGAGGTTTAATTATTTAAACTCTATATACACAGTGGCACAGTGTTCATAATCTTAAGCCTCTGACTAGAACATACAACAACAAGGAAACTGTGTTAAATCACTTACTGCTGGTAGATTGGTCACCAAGCTCTCACTCTAGCTTAAGCTGTCCTAAGCCATAATAGAACTTGATAGGAATTGGAAAAGTATTTCTACCAAACTCACTTGCCTTGCATTGACTCGGAGTTGAAAGAGAGAGAGGTGACAGGAACTCTGGTAAATACTGTACAGCACCACATAATTGCTGATCCAACACCTGTTAAAGTCAATGTGATTCTGTTGTTGTCATCTGTAATGTCCTATCGGTGTATTCTTCCTTGGGTTCTGAGAATTTTTTTGTGTTCCCTGCTTTATATTCCGGACGTTTAGTGCTTTGTCTCAGCCACTGTGAGCAGACTGGACTCTGTGGAGTCCCTTAACTCCATGCCTTAGTTAGCTGGAGTTGGATGTGAAATCCTTTATTGATTGCCAGGACCTGAACACAAGTTTGTCTGCAATCAGCCTGGTGGACAAATATATCAAATAAGATGATTCATTATAGAAACTTCACATTTTATAACCTATTTTGGGTTTTGATATGCTAGTTGTACATTTGAGATAAATTAAGTGCCACATTCTCTGGTGACCAGTTGGTTTTGGTATCAATTAGTATTAAATGTAAGAAACAGTTTGTTCTCCGTTATATTCTTGGCAGTTCACTTACAAAATACTGTCATCAGGTTGGATAGTATGCACAGTGTTACTGCAGAAATTCAAAGGGATGATATTAAATTTGAGTGTTTAGTATTTAGGGCAAGACGTTTTCTGCCACTCTTAAATATTTTTTTTTTTAAAGCCACTCAAGAGTTTTACTCTAACTCATAATCTAAACTTTTTAAGATACGCTTTTGAAAAAGATTAAATATATTGTTTTCAGGAGCAGATTCTGGACAGATTTCTGAAGAAACTTGGAATTTTCTCCAGTCAATCTATGGGGGCGGGCCAGAGATCATGCTCCGACCACCTGTTGCTCCAGTAGAACTTGATGTGCTTCAAACAGAGGAGAAGATTGAATTAGAAACTCGTAGTCTGTAGCCATCAGCACAAAGATGAATTTGTAAGAAATCCTTTCCACTTGCCTAAAACACATTCCTGAAAGATGTTTAGTTTTTATTATATTTTTGCCTAGAAAGGGGCAGCTCATTGGGCATTATGTTAGTAACGGAAGAATTAGTTGAAACTTATAGATTGTTAAAAAATTTACTTTGAAACCTTTCAGACAGACTATTCCCTTCATGTTTTGGAAGGTATGTGACTTACATATTTTGGAACATTTGGTTAATTGAAAAAAGTCACAATTTTTGCTACATGTTAAACCTATGCTATCCTTTGTAGAATTATAAAATTGAGATGAAGGATTTTAAAAATGCTTTTAAATATTGCTATGAATTGCTGATCAGTCTTCTGAAATTTACAAAATGCAGTATGTCTTTAATTGTACAGTTTTGACAAGACTAGATATAAAAAGAGCATATTTTAAATGGATCATGGGGAAGTAGTAAACACTCAGGAAAAGTTAAGTTTCACTTTGTTTTGTTTGCACTGCAATGTATAAAATAATGAACAGCATAAAACTTTCAAATGCTTTTCTTATTTGAATGTATCAAATATATAATTAGTCTGGATGGAATATTGTTTTGGTCAGCATATGTCAGTAACTTATTGCCTACTAAAGTTTAAATCATATAATAAGCTTCTGTATATAAACCTACCTAATATCTTCAACAGTATCAGTGATGGAAAAAAATCTTAGTCTTCTTTAGGATATTTGTTTGAGAGCATGAAGCGTGGAATGTAAATGATTGTGGACATGAGACTGATGCGCACTTGAGAAATTAAATTGTCTAGTCTTTTTTTAATTAAATGCATAAACAGTTCCTTCTGAAAAAATTTATTGTATAGTTACAAAACACTTTTTGGCATGATTTGTGATGTCAGAAGCTGGATAAAATATGTTGCAAGATTACAAAATCTTGCTGGATAATTTATACTGGAATGTGAATGGCATTCAGTCTTTTCTTTTTTTTTCTGCCTGATATAGCTACCAGCTAATCAACATTATTCAAGGCTGGTTCAAATAAAAATGACCTTTTAAAAACTGGAAATATTTATTCAAATGTGTTCGAATTCTTTTAAGTGAAATACGAATAATTATAAAGTAAGTTGATTGCAATAGAGATTTCACGTATTTAAGAGGTGTTTCTTAAAGTTTTCCCCATTTAGGTATTAGGAGATGGTGTTTAGAGACATGAGGTAATATCTTTTATTGGACCACCTTGGGGGTTGTTTGAAGGCCAGAAGAGGGGTTCAGGAAAGATTTCTTTCAGGATGGGGTCCCCATCAAGTTTGGGTTGTAGTTTAATGATATCCCTATGGGTTCCAGTGTGGAGTGGCAAGTGACAACTACAAGTGTGCAGTCGGGGGTGGGGGACATCCTGTATTGAAGCAGGTTCTCTTAGGATATAAAATAAAATAATAATAATACTCCCTCTGAACACTGGATTTATGGTTTATTACAACAAACTGAGGGGATGGTACGATGAGACTTCCTACAAGGCATGTATCCGATCTGCGACTTCTAGCAGCAAATGTCTCCAGTGGCTGATGGGGAGGGCTCTGAGTTACTACAGAGCATTCTTTCCCAGGTGTCTGGCTGGTGGGTCTTACCCATGTGCTCAGAGTCTAACTGATTGCCATATTTGGGTTTGGGAAGGAATTTTCCCCTGGGTCAGATTCGGGGGGGCAGGTTCGCCGCCTTCTTTGAGTGATAGTCCCTATTGTATTCCATTGTGTGTTTATACATGCGTCCGAAGCTGGAGTATTTGAAAGTAGTAGTGTCCATTGGTTCGTGCATGCGCCCTTGCCTCACCGCATGGTTTCGTCCGAGGTGATAAAGAGCAGGGCGGACCGACTTTGTCTCCAGTTCCTTCTCATCACTGCATGGTCCGAGTGAGAGGAGCTAGTATTCTCTCAAGTATGACACACCTTCAAACGTTTAGAATTGTATATAGTTAGTTTTTCTTGAAGTGTTTTCTGTTTTTACTGTTTTAATGTAGTTTTAGCTTTTAGTAGTACAGTGAAACCCCGCTATAACGCGATGTTTGGGGTCCAAAAAATTCCATCGCGATAAATGCGGGGTCGCGGTATAGCGGGGTTTCAAGCCGGTCAGTTTAAGTCAGTGGTCCCCAACGCGGTGCATTGATGTGCGCCGCCTAGTGCCCCTAGTGCCTTGTGCCCAACAGGGGAGAGAATCCGCGGCCCCGCGCCTGCCGGGGACAGAGAACTCCGAGGCTGCGGGCGCTGGTGCTCTCTGTCCCCAGCAGGCGTGCGGCCGCAGCTTCTCTCCCCTGCTGGGCACTAGGCGGGGGCACATCAATGTCCCGGCAGGCGCCATGGCGTTGGGGACCACTGGTACAGTACAGTATTAGGCCTTAAAGAAGAGCCAACTTATGATCGCGTTATATGCAATTTCGCGTTATGGCAGGGCGCGTTATTGCGAGGTTGTACTGTATTTGTAGTAGAACTGAGACTTCAAGGGAATGTGTTTACGGGTTATCCGTCCCACCACCACCACCACCACCTCAGTACCCATGGGTGGGTACCAGGCTATGCCAAAGACACTAAGATTTAAAATCTGTGCCGCCTGCCCTCGTTCCTTCTTGATCAGCTATGAACATCAATGCTGCCTCTACTGCTTGGGAGAAGCCCACATTTCATCCGAGTGCAGTGTCTGCAACTCCTTACCAAGCTGTACCCAAGAAGGCTGCATGGAAGTCGCCATGAGGCCTCATTCGGATCCAGGTTGGGGAGCTCCCCCCCCTCCTTCCCCCGCACATCCGCCTGAGACAGCCAGTGCAGCCTCCTGCTATGGAGATAGAGTCCAGTTCCGGCAGTACCACCGATACAGACCCCGTGCTGAGAGGTAAAGAAGCATGCACATAAGCATGGCAGTAAGTCTTTTTCCAAACCAAAGAAGGATGTCTTCCAGGAGTTCCAGCCACTGAGAGGCAGCATGCTTCAAGACGCACAAGCATGACCAAAAAAAATGCACAAACCAGCTGATCCGTTAGTACTGAGTACTGAGCCCACGCACACCATCAATGTTGGTCTCCCTTAAGACAAGAAATCGATCCGTTTCGGAAAACCCTCCACTCCAGCACCGATTCCAGATACAGAACAAGTACCATTAACGCCAGGGAGATTGGAGAAAGCACTAGAGCCACATGAACTGTTTGTCCTATGAAAACTGAGATCTCCATGCCTTCCAATACCATCCACATCTAGGGAGGCCAGATGTTCCACTCAGGACATAGCACAGTCAAGACACACTTCAACACATCCTCCTATGGTTTACATGCTTCCACTGGCTCTGACAGTACCACCCTTGGAACTGGGATCGGAATTTTCCTCAGAGGATTCCAATGGAGTATAAGGGCCTCCCATTCCCTACTGCCACTACAAGTACCCAAAAAGACCACCGGCATCATGGCAGTACCCTCTTCTACAACAGCAGAGGAGCCACTGGTTTCCCACACAATAGGGCCCTCTGCAGCACCCACCAGATCCTGGCCCCAGTACTCATCCTCAGAACCCACTCATTTCATGAAGGAGGTTTTGCCTCTATCCCCACATACAGCACCTTCAAGCAGACGCTTCAAACCAGGTATGGAGGAAGAACCGATCAGCCCAGTTACAACAGTAGGGCCGGAGCAAGAGCATTTTCCATCGCCCTCTCCAGATGCTGCAGTGACTTTGGCTTCCCCCTCACCTCCAGATGACTATTGCCAATTCCAAGATCTCCTGTGAAGGGTGTTGGATGACCTTCATATCCCATCCCCCTGGAGAAAGTACAAGACAAGCAGCATCAGCTCCTGGACATCCTTCATTCCTTGGTACCGGGTAGGGTTCCTCTGCCGATCAACGATGCCATTCTCTAGACAGCTCGAACAGCTTGGCATACTCCAGCCACATACTATGTCTAAGGTGTCTGAGTTTCTTTCCTCACCTCCCTCCCCAACCCAGTTCCCTTGTGGTGCAAGCAGCAACTGAATGGTCCAGACCCCAACACCTGCACTACACCCCAGCTGATAAGGAGGGCAAACAATTTGACTTTCTGGGAAGCCAGGTCTGTGCATCAGCTAGCCTTTAGTTCCAGATTTCGAACTATCAAGCCTTGTTGGCCAAATATGAATTCCTCAACTAAGACAAACTGGAGGACTTTACTGAAAAGCTGTCTCAGCAAGATGACCCCGGTTCCAGTCTATCCTGAATGAAGGGAAACTGGTGGCATGGTCAGCGCTTCAATCTGCTGTAGACATGGCAGATACCTCATTGTGCTCGATGGCTATGGGCATTGTCATGCAGAAGGAATCGTGGCTTCGTTGATTTGGTTTCCCCACAGGTGCAAAATACATTGAAAACCTCCCTTTCAGTGATTTGCATCTTTTTAACCAGAAAACTGATGATTCACTCCACACCCTGAAGGATTCAAGAGCCACACTTTGATCTCTGGGCATCTGTACACCTGTACCCAAGCGGAAATTCTACTGCCCACTACCAATACAAAGGTTCAGGACTACCCAGTTTTTCCACCAAAGACTGAACGAACCACCGCGCAAGCAGAGAGGCAGGGTCAGCAGGGGCCCGCGCCCAAATCAAGAGACACTAAATGCCTTGATTTGTATGGGAGAAAGGTTTATTCAACAGGGGGCCTTTCTCTCTGGTTCGCTAACCAGCTCGTGATCCTGAGCTGGTACAGTTACAGCTCGTGGTCTGCAATTCAAAAGTTCAAAGAGCTTCTCCCTTCCGAGTCAAGGGCTGAACTGGGGGCCATTGCTGAGGAAGGCAGAATTGTAGCCCAGACTTCCCTCCAGAGTTCTTTGGATGCTGCGGTCTCGGCAGCATGTACCCTGGCGTCGGGTATCACGATGAGATGCAATGCCTGGCTCCAATCCTCAGGTTTTCCCTCGGAAGTTCAGCAAACAATTCAGGACCTCCCGTTCAACAGCCAGGGCCTGTTTGCTGAGCAGACAAACTCTAGACTGCATACTCGGCATGCATACCCCAGCGATCCAAAGGAAGCCTTTCAAACTGCAGACCACCCAGCATCTGTCTTTCCCCGCTAGGCCCAGGCAGGACTTCTCTCCCATAGGCCATCATGCCCTCTTCCTGGGCAGGGCCAGAGACAGTCCAAACCCCCTCCGGGCCCTAAGCGCCCCTTTTGAAGGTGCGCACGAGGGCGGATTACTAGTCCACAACCTGGCCAGTTATCCTCCCTTCCTGAACCATCTATCCCGCTTCTACCGTGCATGGTCACTTATTACGTTGGACCGGTGAGTGAGGAAGCCCTCTTACTGTGGGTATTTTGTCTATCCCACTCCATCCTTCTCCAAGCTTCATACTGCCGGGCATTCAGAACGGGCTGGTGGACAGCTTGAGCAGACGGTTCCTTATGCACGAGTGGTCGATTCGTCCGGACATCATCCACTCAATCTTCCGCATTTGGGGGTTTCCCCGAATCAACCTGTTCGCCACGCGGGCCAACAGGAAGTGTCCAACCTTCTGCTCCTTCCGGGGTCACAGCCCAGGCTCGATCGCAAATGCGTTCCTGATTCCATGGTCCGGTCAACTGTTATATGCCTTCTCACCATTTCCACTCATCCACAACAAGGTGCTTCTCAAGGTCTGCAGGGACAGGGTGGACATACTGGTGGCTCCAGCTTGGCTTCGCCAGTGCTGGTACCCCACCCTCATGGACCTGTCGGTCCAGTCCCCGGTACGTCTACTTCTCGCTTCTGATCTCATCTTGCAGAATCACGGCCGCCTCCTTCACCTGGACCTTCAGTTGCTCCACCTCATGGCCTGGAAGATCAGTGGTTGAACCAGGCAGAGCTCGCCTGTTCAGACCTGGTGAGGCAGGTGCTTCTGGAGAGCCACAAGCCATCTACCAGGGCCACTTACAAAGCGAAATGGAAATGGTTTTCTATCTGGTGTGCCCAAAGGCAGGTACTTCTGCTCCAGGCTTTAATCCCATGTATCCTGGATTATCTCCTGCACTTGAAAGACCAGCGCCTGGCATTTGGTTCTCTCAAGGTTCATCTCACGG